CCCTCCCGGCTTAAATTTGCCCCCCGTGGAAGGCCCAAAAGTCGTTTTTTACTTAAAATTGGCGTTGGCAAATTTTCCAGGTAATAAAATATTTTTTTTTTTTTTTTTTTTTTTTTTTTATAGACTCAATGTTTCATTATAAACATGAAAGAAAAAATTTCTCATTAATCTTATGTTCAAATTTTCAATAAAAAAAAAAAAAAACAAAAAGAAGAATTAATAATATCAAAGGTTACATTGAACTCTTTTATTCTTGTTTTTATTTTTAAATTTATATATATTATTTTTGTTTGCTTCATTTTACTATAAAACCAATTAGTATGAGACAAAAATTATGTGTAATCTATAGATACATCCGGGAATGTCTTCGGATTTATTTTTTGTTTTCTATGAAGAAATAATAAAAAAAAAAAAAAAAAGGAAAATAAGAAATAGCGACATAATTATCAATAGACGCCGTTTTTGGTATAGAATACCTGTTAAATCTTGCTTAAATAATTGATGATAATGCTTGACTTTACATGATTTATTTATTAAAAGGAACTTTCTTTTTGCATCCTTAACCGATTGGATCAGAGCATTCTATGACTGTCTGATAAAAACGATTTGTTTTTTAGATGAAAATCAATGAATAATTAAATGCTAGATATAATACGCATGGCATATATACATATAGAACAAAATCGTGGATTAATAATAGTCTATAGAGACTAACAGTGATAATACTTATAAATGATATATTTTATTGTTTGCTTTGATTCACTGAAGCTGAAATCATTTATATTAAATGAGGAACTTTGCCTCTTCGGTTCTATGTAAAAAAAAAAAAAAAAGAAGTGATTTCTATATGATATAAGCAAAACTAAAAGGTTACTTTGACCTATTAATAATATTCTATTACAGTAATAATTTAATTTGATAATAATATTTAAATCTAAGTAATCATTAAGAAAAATACTTTCTAATATTATTTTAATTATTATCTATTTATTTAAATAGATTTAATATTGAAAAACGTCGTCGTCAGTATTTAGCTGACATTTTTACAACATTAATTGATTTAAAATGGCGTTATACATTATGTTTATTTACTCTTGGTTTTTGTTTAAGTTGGTTAGCATTTGCTTTGATATGGTATTTATTAATGTATTCATATGGAGATTTTTATCCCGATAATTATAACTCAGCGAATTATTCTGTATGTATTGCTGGTGTACATTCATTTGCTGGTGCAATACTTTTTTCAATTGAAACACAACAAACAATTGGTTATGGTACACGTGTTGTTAAAGAAACTTGTTATTTAGCTATTGTTGTTATGATGGTACAATCTAGTATAGGTGTATTATTACAATCATTTATGGTCGGTGTTGTATTTGCAAAAATTTCTCGACCTAAAAAACGTACAGAAACATTAATTTGGTCACGTGAAGCAGTTATTTGTTTACGTGATGGTCAAATGACATTACAATGTCGTGTTGGTGACATGCGTAAATCACATATTGTTGAAGCACATGTAAGAATGTATTTGATAAAGAAACGTGTTACTTTAGAAGGAGAAATATTACCATTACATACATATGATATGAATGTTGGATTTGATAAAGGTGTTGATCGATTATTTTTAATATGGCCATTAGTTGTTGAACATATAATTGATGCTCAATCACCATTATATAATATGAGTCGAGATGATTTAGCACAACAACGTTTTGAATTAATTGTTATACTTGAAGGTATTATTGAATCAACAGGTATGACAACACAAGCTCGAACATCATATTTACCATCTGAAATTTTATGGGGTTATCGTTTTGAACGTTTAATTACATTTCAACGTGATGATGGTTTATATCGTATTGATTATTCACGTTTTAATTTAATTTATCCTGTTGATATGATAACATGTAGTGCTAAAGAATTAAATGATTTACATGAATTAGAAAAATGGCATGAAAATAATCAAAATAATAATACACATAATAATGATAATAATAATAATACAAAAGAAAATGAAAATGATAATGAAAATATTTATTTTAAAATCGATAAATTAACAACACCAACATCATCATCATCAATAGTTTGGCATGAAAAAAAAGAAAGCACATTGTGACTGTCACACAAACAACAACAAAAAAAAACGAAATATATTTATCCGGTGGTTTATTTTTATGGAAATTAAAATATACACACACACATATATTTTTTTTTTCCTTTTATTTCAATGAAAAATCTTTCTATTTAGGTGATAGCACTCAATTGTGCATATGACTCAATTTGGATTGTTTCATTTTATATAATAGTCAACTTTAATTAATGGTGGTTAGCATTGATAGATAGATACATATATATTATTTGTTATTATTTGTTTCTTTTTTTTCTTCTTCTTCGTTTTAATATTTTATTCTGATTACGTATATGCATATATGACAGCATATTAATTGTTTTGTAGATTGTATATATATATATGTGTGTGCCTATTTTTATTTGATATTATTAAAGAAACAAAATATGAAGAATGAACAAAGTAAATATAATATATCAATGATTTCATCAAAATTCTTGATATTTAAAAATTAGAGTAAAGATTTGAGTGTTATTTCTTTTTTTGTATGTATAATTATATTCGAATAGTTTTATTTTATTTTTTTTTTATTAAATACGACATAAAACAAATGTTTATGTGTAAGTAGTAGGATTGAAAGATTGAGTGAGGGGAAAGTCATTGTTTCTATCGCTCTGCTCAAGGCACTCATGAATAAAGCGTGGGAAATTGAGATTCTTTCATAGACATAAACACAAAATCGATGTTTTGCTGTGCACTCAATTGTTTTCCTCAAGCATATAAAAGCTCTGTGAAACGAAGATTAAGTTTCAATGTAATATATTACTATAATTGTTTTGTTTTGTTATAAACATAAAAATAGTTCTGAATGACTTGAAGACTAAAGTACATGTTACTAAATTATCATATTCAGAACACAGGAAATATCTTAATCACACAGTCATACTAGTATAAAAAATAATTCTTTTTTTTTTCTTTGTTCGAAACAGAATTATTATAGTTAACCTTTGATTATGAAGTCTAATGAATTTCAATGGGTGTATTAATCCTAATTTATTTGATTATTAACACTGTTTTATATACTCTGATTATAATCATTTTTTTATGTCTTGATTTATCAAAAGGAAAACTTCCGGAATTTCATAAGATGATATATTGTGTTAGATATGAGCAAGATGACCCGAATGTCGTGTTTTTTATTCGAGATATTATTAGAATAAAAAATGATTCATTATTATAATAATAAAAATTCAAAATCTTTAGTTTATATGTTATATCGAATAGTGATATGAACTATGTAGTTGCAAAATGCTACTTTTATTTATTATCTTTAATGAAAAAAGAAAACAAACTACGAAGTCTATTTTGTATATTCACTCAAATAAGCTGTTGGATCATAAGTTGTATCTAATGTAATTTCCATTTTTTCTTTTTGTACAGCTGATCGACGTAATAAACGTGTTTTTTGTTCTTTTTCTGATAAACTTGCAATATCAACTGGTAACTAAAACAAAAATAATTCAAATAATAATTCATGATTAATCAATCAATGTTTACTTTAACAAGATGTCTTGGTTCAGAATATCGTATTCGTATTGTTGATCCATCAGGTAAAACAAGATAATTTGGATAAAGTCGAGAATAAATATCTCGAGAAAATCTTGTTATTGAACTACGATAACAATTTGATCGTCGACTAATGATTAATGGTAAAATATTTTTTAATAACATATTTTATCTAAAATTAGATTTAAACTTAAAATTATAAATGAAATATTTTTGTTTTCAAATGAAAATTGTAGAATGTCTTTCATGATAAGAAAAATGTCAAAACTAGAGAAAAAAAATAATGTCAAGCTAATGAAATCGAAAGATCACTACTAGTGGAATGAGTCGATGAACCCAAAGATATTCGATAGAATGATAAAAATAGAACTATTCAATCGATTCAATCAAAATAAAAGCATTTGAATAAGACTAAAGAAAATAAAATTGTAAAAATCAGATCAAGGAAAATGAAATTATCTTATCGAAACAAAAGAAAATAAAATTATTAAAATCTACATCAATAGAAATGTAACATTTAAGATACACTCAAGAAAGTATTAAATATAGAGAAACAATTTCCTATCACAAATTTTTATTATTAATGTATGTGGAATAATAGATATCTTAACTTTTCTTCTTCTTCTTTCTACATTCTTATAGACAATTGATATTTTCAAGAACTTGATTTTCTTCTCAATAAAAATTCTATATTTATATCATTAATTCCTTCTTTTTTTTTTTTTATTATCAAATAGAAAACCAATCACTGTAAATCAAATAAAAACAAGCAACAACAAAATAGATTTCATTGTAAAGCTGCAAGTCGTTTATCGAGCTCATCAACTAATGAATCTAATTCTGTATTAACTTGTGTTTGTAATGATGGTGATTCAATATCAATAATAAAATCATATTGTTGATCAAGAGCTAAATAACCATCAGATAAGAAATAAAGTGTTAATCGTTGTCGTCCTAAAATATTTGTTGTCACAAATGATAATGAAACAGTTGTATGAGAACGTATTATTTGATTAAAACGTTTTATACATATTAATTCACCGGTATCAGTATTACCGAGAATAAATATCCATGATTCATCTTTTGGTTTATTAACTGATGATGTTGTTAATTGACGAAACTCATTTCTCTAGAAAAAGAACAAAAAAATTAATCATTTAAAATAAAAAAAAATGTTCGCGCAATCCCTATAGTATTAAAATATGAAACACAATATAGCTACTATTGCTAATTACAAAAAAAGAAAGAAAAAAAAAATATTCCTGTCTTGCGCTATAGGGAGATGTTTAATGATAGATTCAATAGTCTTATATTTTCCCTAAAACTAATACTAATTGTAGTTTTGGACAAAAGGTCAACCTGATCCAGAATTCTTGTATTCTAGATATACACCAACTAGCCACAAGAGTAGATGTATGCCATAAAGTCGTCATCATGATCCGAGACAAACAGCAACTGTTAATGACTTGTCTCAAGTTATTCCATGGTTGATAGTGCTTATGTTTGAATACAGGGATTTGCACATGCATGCCGAACTTTTTAGACCGGTAAAAATCAGTAAAAACTAGTCGGTTAATCAGAATGGTTTCAAAAAAAAAAAAATTCATTTTCCTTTTCGCATTCAAATTATTTTTGTAAACCTTCAGGAAGAAATGTCATATTATAATCATTTCTCAAAGATCAATATCTAATAGTTCTATAAATATCGCCCGAAAAAATAAGTCATTTACTTCTCAACTAATTGCTAAACTCTATATTTTAACTTTTCTCATTCAACTTTTTCAAACAAATATAAATTTGAATTTTACTAAAATATATATAATATAATTTGGATATACAGATGAAACAACATTGTTTAATTATTTTGATATTATTCAATCTATTCTCGGATACATATCTTCACCATTATTGTACCTATTCGTTCAGAAATTCAATAATAAGACTTTTATGAAATATAAAGCCTATGATTGTGTATTAATAGTTTATGGAAAGTAGAGTTTGTCGGATTTAAAATTTTTTGAATCGAACTTGATCGAGTTCAGAACTAATGCGATGGTTTAAAATTTTTTATCTCTCTATACTTGAACAATCCTTTTTAGATCGTATTTCATTAAAAAAAAAAAAAAAAAAGAAGCATATTACTCGTATTCGATTAATTCTTTTCAATTTGATTTGTAATGTATATTCTTGATCAGCATGAACATTGGTTGGTAATTGTCGAGTTTCTTCACCTGTTGACCAAAAACCACGTATATTAAAATTTAATTCAATTTGTGGTAAACGCATTAAATATTCATATATATCATCAATTTGTGTTGATGTTAAATGAGATTGAAGTATATTAGTTAATGTTTCATGTTTAATATCAATTAATTGACATAAATGAGATGAAAATATATGAGTAAATGATCGATCAGTTATATGTGGTAATGTTAATATATCTGGATCAGTTATCCATCGTGATTGAATTATCATTTGTAGAAAATGTATACAAAGTAAACATGGACTTAGAAGGGCTTTATGTGCACATAAATCAATTAATGCTTGAATAATACGAATGATTTGATCGAGACATGATTTTAAATCAGTAACATAATCAATACGAGGAAATTCTAATCGACTTAAATGATATTGTATTAATAAATTTGCTTTTAAATGTGGAGAATCAAATTGTGGTTGAGTTCGAAATGGTATACGTATACGATCAATCATTGTTTTATGTAATTCATCTTCATTATGACGAACCTTTTTTGTAATAAAAAAAAAAAAAAAAAAAAATTTATTTAATTTTATTTAGTAGAACAAAATCTGATATGTAATATATAAGATTATATTCGACATAGGATTTGTTTCGGTTGCAAAAAAAAAAAAAACTACGAACTGATCTCATTTTTGAATCATATGTAAATAAGAGAAATCTTGAAATTTGATAGACTTCATTTACTTTTACGTATTACACATTTGTTTATTTTGCATTATTAGTTATCATCTATTTATAGATGAGTACTAATTAAGTATAAAAGATTACACGAATTTTTCACAATTTCAAAGTCTTTAAATTCGTAGTTTTCTCGCTCCATGACAATAAGATTTTTCTTCTATGAAAATAATTCTACACTAGAATTTTATACTCATCTACAAGTGTTAACCCATGTCACATCTTTGTTCGCACTACCCTCACTAATCAAGCATATATCACACCGAATGATGTATTGACGGTCTTTGTGAAGACTAAACTACAAGGGAACAGAAGAAAATGTGTAAATAGAAGATTGAATCTTTAGATGTACTCATGCTCTTTTTTTTTGGTATTTCAAGTCCAACAAAATACTTCTGTTAATAATATAGAAGAGTGAAAATCAGTAATGTTGTAAATAAAAAAGTTTGTTGAATATCTTCAATGCATTCTCTCAGAAGGATGTAGACGGTGAATGTAGGAAAGATCCAAGCCAACATTCTATGTATACTACAGAAATCTATTTATTCTATTGTACTCTTTCGATATTTTACGTCAATATGTTTGGTGATTCTGCAAAACGGTGAAAGTAGTGAGGGAAACAGTAGTCATTTGTTAGCGAAAAAAAAAGCGATGATAGATTATGTTGAAATTATATGCAATTATTCGACATTTTACAGCCATGTTCAATTGAAATTTAGATATTTACCGAAAAATTAAATAACGATATTTTAATCTGAAATATTGTCTATAGATAGGTTTAAAAAAAAATCCCGATCATAACGTATCGTCGAACTCTTCTAAGCTTTTACTATTCTCATTGAAATCTACCTGTCGACCTAATATGAACTCAAACGGCAGACATATACGAAAATTATTTTTTTTACCGGCATTTCAGCATATTCATATGCACAAGAAATTACATCAATAAGTTCTCCCAATGTTATATTTGATGTTACACGTTGAGCAAACATATGTATTGTTCTATATGATATATAATAATGTGATGCTATTCGTGCATGAACAGTAGCTTGTAATGTACGTTGATCATCTTCATTTACAAAAATACATGTTGCACGTATTAATTCATCAAGTGAACGTTGTACAATAGCTGATAAATATGTATTAAGTGTTTGTTGTTCATTCGTATTATTTGATAATGGTTCCATATTATAATAACTTGGATTAACAAGTAAACGACGAAAAAAATATGTCCATGTTAAATAATCAAGTGCTTCTTGTTTACTTGAAATTGTTCCACTTACTATTTCAGCATTTAAATGATCAGCAAGAACATTAAGTAAACTTGATTCAACTAAAAAGAATAAATAAATATATTTTTTTTTTGTTAATTAAATAAATTTACCTGGAAATGGTTCATAGAGAAATTTTTTATAAAAATTCTTTTTTACATCATGTACCATAATAACTGCTTTGCCTGAATCATCAAATTGAGGTCGACCAGCACGACCCATCATTTGTAATACATCCGTTATAGGAAAATCAACATAACGATGAGTTTTTCCATCATAATATTCAGTACCTAACACAAGTAATAAATATTGTTTTATTACAAACAGATCTTATTCATTTATGAATAGAATTAACGAAGAGCTTTTCGAAAAAATACATCTTTTAGTGAAAAATATACCGAGAAAACAAGAGATAAAGATTTAAAGTAGCTTTTATAAGGATTGCGTCCAGACAGAGATTGAACTAATCTCATTGAGACTTTTTTGTTCATGCAAAGTTTGAAGTCGAAAGTCGATTTTTGTTGAAATGTTGAACAAAATTTTAATATCTCAAAAACGAAGACTCGGAAAACCAAACCATTCTATTACTTATCAAATGAACATCGTCTCCATCAAAAAACCATTTGACATTTAGAGAGATTTCGCTTGTGAGCTTACGAGGGAACCTCCCCAAGTGATACTCTCGGTTTGGGCTCATATTTTGCCTGTAGGTAGGACTCATAGCGTAGGTAAGAGCCCTAAAAGGGTTTGTGCCTATAGCCTGTTGTTGTTGAGATATTACGTTTTTAAGGTATTGGAATAACTTACTACCGTGGTCCCCCGCAGGAACATGAGAAAAACTCATTTGAAAATTTCGACTTGAAACTTTGTATAGAGAGAGGTCTCAACGAGAGTGGTTTATTGTAAAAGTTTCAGACTTATTCCTTGTTCCAATCCTAAGATACGGCTATAGGAACCTATGTCACTTGCAGAGACAAGTTTTGGTGTTCGTATTTCCGATTAGGAGCATTCAGCAAAGCTGAAACTTTCACAATAAACTACTCTCATTGAGGCTTCTCTCTATACAAAGTTTCAAGTCGAAATTTGCAAATGAGTTTTTCTCATGTTCCTGAGGGGGACCACGGTAGTGAGTTATTTCAATACCTTAAAAACGTAATATCTCAACAACAACAGGCTATGGGCACAAACCCTTTTAGGGCTCTTACCTACGCTATGAGTCCTACATATAGGCAAAATATGAGTCCAAACCGAGAGTATCACTTGGGAAGGTTCCCTCATTAGTAAAATAAGCAT